CGTGTCTGGGTTTGGCGGTTGCCAGGAGAACGGTACTTGCCTGACTGCATTGTGCCAAGTGTAAAGTTTGGTGGAGGGGGGATTATGGTGTGGGGTTGTTTTTCGGGGGTTGGGCTTGGCCCCTTAGTTCCAGTGAAGGGAACTCTTAAGGCATCAGCATACCAAGACATTTTGGACAATTTCATGCTCCCAACTTTGTGGGAACAGTTTGGAGATGGCCCCTTCCTGTTGCAACATGACTGTGCACCAGTGCACAAAGCAAGGTCCATAAAGACATGGATGGGGAGGGGGGGGGACGTGACTGGTCTGCACAGAGTCCTGACCTCAACCCCATAGAACACCTTTGGGATGAATTAGAGTGGAGACTGCGAGCCCGGCCTTCTCGTCCAACATCAGTACCTGACCTCACAAATGGTCCAACATTCCCATAGACACACTCCTAAACCTTGTGGACGCCTTCCCAGAAGAGTTGAAGCTGTTATAGAGCAAAGGGCGGGCCAAGTCAATATTGAACCCTACGGACTAAGACTGGGATGCCATTAAAGTGCATCGGGGGGAGAAGGGGAGGAGAGGAGAGGGAGAGAATTTTAATGTGAAATAAAAATTATTTGTGCACTGAATACTATCATAATAGTGTAGTTTTGTTTTATTAAATATCAGAATAGACAGAATAGCGGCAAAGGGCGGAGCCAACTCAATACTGAACCCTACAGACTAAGACAGGGATGCCATTAAAGTTCATGTGCGTGTAAAGGCGTCCCAATACTTTTGGCAATATAGTGTATATTACTATGTTAAAAATTGATTGATGTGATTGGATTAACATGTATACATAAATTGATTTCTATACCAGATTACTACACCAATGGTGATTTCTGTACCCGATCCTCATACTATACCACTGTTGGTAAACGTATTTGTTTCCACAGGTCAGATCTGATTGAAAAATCAGGTGCCTGCAGATTCCTTTAAAGCAGGGCTAGACCTCAGCATGCCAGGTGTGATGGAAAATACCATCGTGCCTCTGCCTCTGGGAGTCATGCCTGTAACTGCCAGAGTCTTGCAATGCCTCATGGGACTTGTAGTTCCACAACAGCTGGAGTGCCATGGTACTTTAAAGGAATCTGCAGGCACCTGATCTCACCCCTCGGATGGAATCACCAAGAATGGTGCAGTGTGAGGATCTGGTGTTGAAGTAAAAATGATTACAGTGACAGGTCCCCTTTGAATGCCGAACTGCAGCTGAGCATGGGACTTGGTGAAAGCCATCCTCGCCATCTGGTATAGGGTGACCCCGAGCATGTGACACGGCTTCATCCCGAAACAGTGTCCTGATTCACACGTGTCCTCCCCATCTGCTGTGCTGATCATAGATACAGAGAAGCAACAACCAGCGTGCACATGGCGGCTATTCAATCATTGAAGACCACACATGTATATAGGGGCTCATGCACACACAGGCGTAAAACAATACTGATTATCTACACAGGAGAGTGCTGGCAGAATATTTCTACATTAAAAAGAAACGCATAAAATGGTCCATACAGCATTTGCGTTTACACGTGTATTAGCGAGTAAACTTCCATTCCGTTAACCACTTGATGCCTGGGGTGCTAAACCCCCTTCCTATCCAAAATTGGCCATAGGCGACACTTTAAAAGCTTTTACCGCTCATCAGTTTAGTGTTATCAGTGATCGATGGCCCTAAAATTATTGCTCTCACTCCGACGTTCGCTGTGATACTTAAAGGAGAACAATGGGGTCAGTGTTTTTCCCCATAGTTCTCCTTAGAGTAACGGGAGGACACAAACTAGCGTCCTCCTGTCACCCTAGGCTCAGTATACCGTGAGCTGTAGCTCGCGGTATACTGAGACGCCGCAGCTGAAGCGGATCCCGACAATTGTGCCGGGATCCGCCCAGCTGCGTGACTGACAGCTGGCTTTGCCTATCTAGAGGCAGAGCCAGCTGTACCCGCCCACCCCCGTCCGTTCCGCCAGTCAGCGCAGGCGGATCGGAGCGGGGAGGGGGGAATACAGCAGAGAGCCGTGACAGAATTGAGAGGTGAGTGAACGCCGGCATGTGTTCGCTCACCTCCCGATCTACTGAGCCGACCTGTGACAGTCTCATTGTCACAGGTCGGCTAGAACTATGAGGTGAGTGAAAAGCACTCACCTCATAGTTCTCCTTTAATAGACATGTGCACTGCCAAAACATTTGTTTAGTTTTGTTTTCATTCGGATTTTGCGTTATTTAGTTTTTCCGGATTCGGGTCCGAAAGTCAATTTGTTTCGGGATTCGGATTCAGACGAAATTCGTTAGCGGTAGTCTCTACAAAATTTCGTTTTTGGACGGATATTCGTTGCAGAAAAGTGACATTAGAGGGAAAAAAAATGTTCTTTCTAGTCTGCAGAAGAGAAAAAAAAAGGGTGAGGTTCCCCCCCAATTCATATCAGACCCTTTAGGTCTGGTAGGAATGTTAGGAGGGACCACCCCCAAGTTAAAACAAAAAAAAATGCGTAGGGTTCCCCCAAAACCCATACCAGGCCCTTTAGGTCTGGTAGGAATTTGAAGGCTCCCAAAAAGTGTGGAAAAAACATGGGGCTCCACCTAAAATTTCTACCAGACCCTTGATCCGAGCACAGGCCCAGAAAGGGGGGCTGGGGGGGGCGATCGAGCGCCTGCCCCCCCCTGCGCCTTACCAGGGTACGTGCATTGGCATTGGGAGGGGACAAGAGCCTCTTCCCCACAACCCTGACCCGGTGGTTGTGGGTGTCTGCGAGCAAGGGGGTTTATATGCACTGGGGTATCCCTTTAATTAAGAGGGCACCAAGATGCCACCCCCCTTGTAAATAAGGAAGGGGTACCTGTACCCCTACCCATTCACTAAACGGAAAATTGAGACTTTTCTGGTCAATCAGATGTGTTTTTTAGTTTAATGCTTCCGAATGGGTCTGAATCCGAATTTTCGCTACGGCAACATGAGAGCCATATACAATATATACATATAATACTAAAGCTGACCCAAATGGCATTCAGGAGCAATTCGGAAATTCGGACCCCCGAATGCCATTTGGGTCTAGGAGCTTCAGCTTTAGTATTAATATCTGTAGATGGTTTTCTGTTTTACTCGCAACGAATATTCGTAAACTTATCCGAAACTAACGACAATTCAGATTTAGTCCGAATCCGAAACCCGAACCGAACTGAATTTCGGATCCGAATCCCGAAATGACGAAATATCTGCACAGAAGTGAATTTTTCCGCAGCTTACATGTCTTCCCAGGACGCAGCTGACGTGGAGCATTTTACTGCTGCCGTCGCTAACGTGATCAATAGCCTAAAAAAACGCTTGTGAACCTCGTCAAATAAGAAGAGGCAAAAGTTGCAAAGCAGGCGAGCGATCGATTGCAAAAGTAGTCGTACGACTAAAAAATGTCCCTCCGACTTTCCTCCTGAGAACTTCTTGAGTGGTAAGCAAGCTGTGAGCTCTCCAGGTTAATGAGATTCACTTGAGCGTGACTAAAGAAATATTGAAAACCCAGCGAGGAGCCAACATTCATGAAGTCTATTGAGCTACTATGTAACAGCTGAGCCTTTGTGTCAGTGAATAGGTTAAAAAGGAAGGGACAGAGTCTCCTCCCCGAGCAAGTCCCTCCTCTCTATAGTTTATATCCAGCCAGGGAATCCCCACATATCAGACACACAGAAATGGCATCTCTAGCAGTCCCCTGGTGGCTTTTCCTCATCTGGACCTGCCTGGGGGTCTCCCTTGTACACTGCGATCCCACCTATGAAACATATTACTTTGATCAGAAGGTAAGTGGCTGCCCTGCAAGTATCTAGGAGCCCATTGGGATGGAAAAGGAAGAGAATTGTTCATTTTGATGTTAACACTTTAAATCCAGCGCAGCGATCATTGCTATGACTCTCTGAAGGGTTAAAGCCACGTCTCAGCTGGTCACGAGTCTCTTGCGTATTCTTCATGGGTTTCGCAAGATGTTTTGGAGTACATACTTTTGTCTGTCTGTGCTGACATTTGATCTTGTGGGTTATTTCCTGATAGTCAGCAGATAATTGGTCTCAGCTGACTCTGATTGGGTGCTGTCATTTCTATGGTTGTATAGGTCCCGCCTTCTCTGCACAGAGCCAGGTATTGTGTCTGGGGTCATGCACTCTTTTGATTGAATAGATACCTAAACAGGTGTAAACTTGTAGTTGGTCTTCAGCAAAAGTTCTACGCAGAGAGAGGTTGGCCATACGCCAGTAGAATTTTTAGTTAAATAAAATTGTTTTGGGAACTTTTTTTGGTCCATTTTCTAACAGTTAATGGGGTCAACTTGAGGATCCGTATTTGACTGTAGCCATGGAAAACCAAAGGAGCAGGAAGAAGTGCTACTCTCTCCCCTCTCTCCCCTCTCTCCCCTCTTCCTCTTCCTCTCTCCTCAAATCTTTTCATATTTAACCAAGTATGTGTCTTATATGTATGATATGTCTGTTTTTAGATATGCGTGCATTGGCGCATTCCTAGTTAAAACCAAATGAAATTCTGAATTACATTTGTCTTTGGCATTATCAAATGTTCTGACAAGATTTGTTGTATGAACATTCTTATGAAAATGTGCCAGTGTATGACCAGCCTAAAGCTGGGTATACGTGGTTCTGTTTTCTTCGCTCAACCTGGGGGCTGAACGAGAAAAATAGACCACATTCCTTTTATTCATGCTTATGAGCGTGAATGGAGGAGTCTGACAGCGGGCTCCAGCCACTGTTAGAACACCCAAGTAGAGCCTGCAGCCATTGGCGTTTCCAAGGCATGGCACATGCCCTGGGCATCACTTGAATGAGGGACTGAGGGGTCGGGGAGGGGGTGCCACTCCGTGGGTCAGCTAAACCAATGGACAGTTTTTTTTTTTTGCTCTGGCTTCTGGCAAACAATGACTGGATGGGATGCCATAAGCACATTTTTATAGTAGATGCGCTTCTGCATGCAGCTGATTGGCTCTGTTCAGCCGACAAATTTCTGCCTGCTCCTTCTGCTGATCGAGGGATACTGAGCGGAAGAGTGCCGACAGGAGCACCCATTGTGTGAATTTCTTCAGGAACTGCCTGGCTTTAGCTGCGTGTACAGGCTACTTAAAGCTAGCTGCACCTTTTCGATTTCTCTCGTTGTACTGTGGGGAAAAATCCATCCATTCCCCCATCCATGCTGAACAGCATAGTTGAAGGGATCTCCCCTGTGGTCTGATTGGTTGAAGTTTCTCTTTGCCCAATTTTCCACCAAGCTCCTTTGGCAAAAGTTAATAGAAAAATCGACTTTTGCTGAGCCGAGTCATGCCAACAGGGTCACCCACAGCTTGAATTTTGGATTATTTAGCAGGAATTGGTGGAAATTTGAGCAGTGGCTAGCTTCATAGTTATCGGCTCTGATACTAAAAAGTTGGAGAGTGAGATTATTTGAGCGTTCCACTGGCACATATATGGGGCCCTAGAACAACCATTTATATTGTACTGTGATACAGTCTATATGTATCTGACTTGGTCATTGGTGTACATGGCTAAATATGTTGCAGATGAGGCTACAGCTCCGCTTTAAGAGGTCCACCTGGTACCTGGTGAAGTTTGTCAAACTGACCAGTCAAAATCTTACTGTTTCTGGTTGTCTTATGGCTTGTGTCAGGCATCTATTTGCAATGGTCCAGTCAGTACTCATGTATTGTTGGGTGATTTTCAGCAGTCGTAGGCAAGCTATTGTCAAAAAAGCATAGGGAGCTGGACAATAACAAAATACAAAGTAAAAAACTTTATACAAAAAAAAAAATACTGTACGGTGGGGGAAGGGGCCCTTTTGAGAGCAACAAATACAAAAAAAGTCCCCTAAGTCATTCCCATGTCCAGCGTATTAAACCCAGCTTGGCGAGACTGTTGTTAAAGGTAGGGTACACATTACCACAGACATGTGGTCCAGTAAGTATGGGCAGGGATGCAACTTATATTTTATGGCACACTGGTTAATTTTCTGGTGGCGGGAGGGATTCAGGATGGAGGGGTTGGGGGTGGTGGTTGGAGGCACACCACACTAATGAAACTTGTGGTACCGCTATGTATCGTGTCTGGTGACCCAGCAGTCATCGGTACCCCCCCTTCTCCTCACTAGCCTCATCCTTTAATATAACCAGCAGGCACCTCCTTTCCTCAGAGAATATGCAACACCCCAGACTAAATGCTGCCATGTTGTTTTAAAGCTTGTATGCTTGGGGGGTCAAGAGCCACACTGGGTTCTGTTGGCAGCTCTACTGGCCTGTGAGGTGGATGACCCCATGATGTCCTCAGCCAGGCAAGGTCATGTTCGACAACAGTACTAACTGCCTGGGTGCCCCTCACCTGGGAAAAAACACGTGTATATACATTGCCTAGCACATGTCTTGAACCTGGTGGTGCAGAGGTTCATCGGGAAGTATAATGGCTTCCAGGAGGTCCTTCATCATTGCAGAAGTGTTTGTAGCCACTTTAGGTGGTCATACACAACCATGGCTCATCTGGTGGAAATGCAGTGCCAACATGATTTATCCGCCAACCACTTCATATGTGACACCCCTATGATGGAACCTGATGTTGGCCATGCTGCAGAGGCTGCACCAGCAGTGAGTGCACATGTGGTTATGGTACAGGGACAGGCTTTGGGGAGCTGGGACTATGTTCACTACATTATTGGCTTATTACTCCGGAAGCATGCAGTATTTTGGCTCTTTTTGAAGAGGTGACCAAAATAGTGAGCCACAAGAAGGCTGGGATTAGTGATACTATCCCTCTTGTATTTCTCATGGAGCACACACTGCATGGTCTGATAGGTTTTGGCACTGGAAGCACAGAAGTAGGAAGATAAAGGAGGGCTTGATGCGGTCTCGGGGCTAGCGGGAACCTTTGCCTACTGCCTCCATGCAGGAGGCCAAGGAGGTATACGAGGAGGAAATGGGGCAGGCTTAAAGATGGATGTTTGAAAACCTCCCAAATCCCAGGTTGCACAAGTGAAATTGAGGAAAGTGTTATCCTCAGCAACACTGAGGACTTGGGGTTTTCTGGGCAATCCGATTTGCAGATTTCTATGATGATTGGCCTTTCAGATCTTCTGACAGTGCCAGAGGGTGTTCCAAAACAAGGTGCACCACAACTTTGAGCTCTGCCTGCATTTGTTTTCCCTGGGGCCACTTGCGTACCATGATGGTACTGGCAGCGGCCTCTCTAACATGACCCCGATCAGGAGATATAATTCTAACTATATACTCTGCTTCTTTACCCGTTTGCTTAAACCTGACCCGAGTCAATAAACCTTCATGAAGGGTTTATTTAAACATCAAGTGTAACCAGAGGGACAAAAAGATGACCAGGAGTTGCGTGCTCTGTACCTAATGAGGTGGATTAAATTGGAGGCTCTTTGACAGGTGCATATGGGATTTTTAAATTGTACAAGAGGCCAACCAATTGCACTGAAACTGTAAGACAACTTTGCAGACCTCATCACACTCACGATGTGGCCACATAGCATTGTATTTGCAAACATTTACTTCTAAACCTGTCTAGCTGGAGTGTGCTGGGACCTTTTTTGTATATTGCACTGGTGATGCACCTTTTCCTTTTTGCAAGTTTAAATTGAGCTGAGTGGCTGCCATTCTTGCATTGTTGGCAAGACCCCTGCCCTTCTGTGGCCATCTTAGCATAGTCTTCTATAGATTCAAAATGAGGCTTGCTGGAACCTGGCCATTCGAGTGAATAGATGTAGACGCACATCTATCTGCTCTGCGGCACCATGTGGGATAATACATTGCATCTACCAGTGTGCAAGGCTAATGCAGCTTTCATAAAAGGCTCACCAGAACACGAGGACTTGCCAAGAGACTAGCAAGTAATGGAGCATGCATAATGAGGCTACTAAAAAGAAATTTGGGCTCTGTTGTTCCTGGGCTCTTCAAAAATTTTTTAGATCCTGGCGTCCTTTCTGAACCTCTGGCTTCAGTACTCTGAAACAAGAACCTGGAACCTGTATCTTGAAAGACTGATTACTTTTTTTTTTTTTTTTTTCCTTGAAGGTATTCAAGCAAGGATACCCGCCAGACAGCTAGACAAGGAAATCAGTAATGACAGCCCCATATTTATTTAATGGCTGGTTCCCTTTAGTAAGGCTTACCTCCTGGGACTCTGGAGTAGACTTTCTCATTTTTCTAAAAGGAGATTTTAGGAATTGTATGGCTGAAGTAAGGTCAGTACAATCGCTCAGTTATCCCTGCCTAGGTGACTGTAACTGGGTACTCATTGTACGACTATGTAAGCAGGGTGGGTGCTTCACAGCATCTCCTCTCACGGAGATGTCACAGGTTGGACTTTTGTCCGGGGAGTACCTGTGTTCAGAATCTCTAATCGCTAACCTATCTCCTGCTTCATAATGTAAGGATTGTTCCTAGGCCTAGATCTTGTGTCCAAGATCTTTTCACTGCTTTCCAGGACCTGGTGTGGTTTCCGTGCTGCTGCAGGAACACCAAATCCTTTTAGACACCAGTACAGATTTAACGTTGTTGACTTGGTGTTCAGGTTATGTTTTAGGTGGTTTAAATGTTGGGTCGCGTTTCCAGGTACGCAAATTCTATTCGGCTCAACAGTTATGGCTGGGAACGAGGTTAAGGGTTAGAGGGGAAGCTCGGTTCCATCCTCAAAAGCCTCCCGATATACTGGGGATCTGGGCTGACTAGGTCAGCATAGGGTTGCATTCTATGTTAACATACCTGTAATAAGAGGCAATATATTTGCCTGTCCAGAAGCCCATT